CTGTTTCGTTAAAAAAAGAAAAAAAAAAGTGAAATGTTGAAAATTTCATTCGTGAAGCGAATACGGTACAGATAATACAGTATTAATTTCTGTGTTTTCGTCAGTAAAATATAAATTATTTCATCTTGAACGAAAATTGAATATAGTTTGTTAAAACGAGAATCTCTTACGTTCGCCTTTCATCCAAAATATTATAGCCTTCGTGAGTGCAATCGTGACAGTCATGTTACCCAGTGATAAATTCTCGACCACCAAATTCAAGTCATGAGCGATAAGCGGTAGATTAATAGTTTGTGGACCACACACAAAGCAGAGCATTGTGAGGAATGGTAAGAGAACGACGTAACTCGAAGGTCGGTTCCATTTCCTCTCTTCCGGCCAGATACCCAAAATTTTCATCAAGTAAAGGTTCCAAGTTAACTGGTAATTCAAATCTAGGAAAATCAGGAATGAATTTAAAAAAATTATCAACGATCGCATATTTATAGAATAAGCCAATAAAATGTACAAGTTACATGTTAGTTTTTCATACATATACGCTATATTTAAAAATATGATTTCTATGCATCTTTGCAATTTATGCCTATTTCACGTATATATTTATTATTTTATTTATTTTTAACAATTGCGAAACAGGAATTTTTGCAAACACTGCCATTTCCTTGTCCAAATATTTATTAATGAATACGTAAAGTTACCTCGTTGGACGTCCATGATAGCCAGTTCCCCCGTGACTGTTCTCGTATTCTTTGTTCTTTATTCAGGCATACATTTTTCTTAGCGCATGTCCTGCGTGTGTATGCAAAATGTGACATCAATTATTCGTGAATAGGGTAGTTCGGTATCGTCCTCAATTGTAGGCTTGGTTGAATATTATAATGAAGTTCAGTGGCCATATGTGCTCTGCTGTTATTATTTATGATTTCGTTCAATAAGTAATACGAAGAAACAAGAGATACTGTCGCCCTTTCAGCATTGTTAGTCCACGCCACATTTTTCTCACAAGTGTGCATCAATATTTGTCAGCGAAAGAAATTTTATTTTATGGAGAAAATGATTTACTACTAGTTAGAAGTATTAGTTTCGACGTAGGAATTTGTGTAAGTGATAAATACAAGATTTAGAAATGTTATGAAACTTAACGTATGTAATTTATAAGATTGATTTTATTAATTAACTGATATTTATTCTATTTGAATTTGATTTGTTTGATTGAAATACAAAATATATTCTAAAACAAAATGTAATTCAAAATTTAATTTCTTTTTTATCTATAAACTTGTGATTATACAGTGCAATTAATGTGATATGATTAATAATGTAGTGAAAGTAATTGTGATATGATTAATAATGTGTAGTTCTTATTGTATTTACTATATTTTTTACTTGCGTATAACTAAAGTATAGGAGTTATATTTTCAGTTTTCACGAATCAAAATTTAATATTTGATTCTAATACTTGATTTACATTGCTTAAATATTAACTGCTTTTCTGCAAACTAACAATTCTTATTTATACATTCCTTTGCCCGCCCACTAGAGAAATGATATAACTGTATAAATGTACATAAAAATGAAACGATACTTTAAATTATAAGCCATATAATAAATGATAGTTTTTATGTTTTAATATATTAATAATCGTGTTATAGAATGAACTATTGAAATATTGAAAATAATTTATATTTTAAGATTTTAGGACAATATTATATGCGAGTAATGCGAGTACTAAAAATATCAAATATTCTTACATTTTTATGTTATTGTATATTATATCTGTTTTTAATATCATTGTCATTATTTTCTTTCAATGACATATAGTGATTCGAGGATGAACAAATTAACAAAAGAAAATGAAGAAATGAATAAATCAATAAAAGAAAAATCGCTGGGGGTACTGGAATTTCCAAAAAATGTAAGTGTTACACTTCGATTTCACTTGTTTCATCAAATTCATTCATGCATTTCATTTTCCAATTCTCAATCCATTTCTCTAGTTTATCTAATTTTCCAATAATTTTCAAATTCCTAATATTATACTTTGATATTTGGATCATTAAATTGTTCAGTAGTACTTGTCCTTTATTTTAATGCAGTTTTACAAATGATTTCACATGCCACGCATAAATTTTTTTAAAATAAAAATAACTAACCTTTGATCGGTAATATGAATCAGCCTTCAAACTGAATCTACATTCAACAGATTTTCATACGCTTGATCTAACCAGGTTTTGTAAATACTTATCAATCGTTCGTAATGCTAAGTTAACTCTGAGCAGAATTGTTCATAAGCGAGCTGCACGCTACCATAATCTGCATCGTATCCATGGGTTCACCAACAATAGTGTGATTGCGGCATTACAAAATAAGGCGCTCAATGCGTTCACAAATACTTCGAGTTTGTGAACATATTCTTTGATTGACTCGACCGCTTGAACAATGTGAACGTTGTTACAAGCGAGCTCGCTGTAACCTAATCGCAATTTATTGAAGTATCCATACTACTGTTGGCGAATAGAATTGTTATGGACGCGGCATAAGGGATCCAATGAATAAACTTGGAGTCTTGAAGAAACGGAACGATGTTGAGAAGTAAAGAAATATTATTGAGGGTTCGCAGGAAATATTCTGTAGATTAATCGTTTTAATAGTTTTATTACTGTCTATGACATCTGATTCTTCGTCTTGTCTTTTCCTTTACATCTTAAGGAGCATTTATCATAGAGAAAAAAGTATTAACTTATTATTAAGTATTAATGTATTAATTTATTGTTTCTTTCGTAAAAATTGCCTTAACAAAGCAATGAATTGTTATAAAATTTAAACTAAATTTCACTATAGAATCGCTTCTTTACTAACCTTTTGTTGCATACAATACAGAAATATACGAGACTGAGGTTTTCACAATCTGAAACATACAAAAAGATTATTTTATACAGTTTCTCATTTTACGATTATGTCATACGTATATGAATCTATTTTTTTAATTATATTTTCTGATATATGAGCCATATAAAATATTTCGTAATTTTATGAAAACTGACTGTCACGATCATAAGATT